AAATCAAACGGGATCTAAGAGATGGACATGAGTCAATCGCACCATCAATTAACGGCATGTTTGTTAACAACTTAATGAGTTTAATAAAACTCATAACTTATTCGATCAGTTATGTATGATTGTTTAGTAGGGATTAATGATATACAAAGTGGCTTATTCGATGATATTTTTTTCCCCAAACATGTCTCTTCAATTAAAAAAACACGTTCCTTCCATCTACGAGAAAAAAAGCCTTCCAAACAAAATCTTTCTCAATCTATATTAAGCAATTATTCCATACAGCCAGCTTCATTAATACATGACTTTAATGGAAACAAAGCAAAGAACCCCTAAATTATATATAAATGATTAATAAATTAATATCAAATTAAAAATACTTTTAATTATTTATATAACTAAAAAAAATTGCAAATTTTGGCGATGAAGTTTTGAACTCAAATTATTTGATTGGATGAAAATTATGAATATTTTTATTTAATACTTTTAGGTTCATGAAAATCAAATATAAAAATGTTTTTTTAAAAATTAATTCCAACCCTTTTAGTTAAAATGAAGCAATGGGGAACATGATATTAATTTGGAGGGTAAATTGTAATAAAATAAGCAAAATGTTCACCATTTTTTAATGGACATTGTCTTTAAATTTAAAAAACTCACGTTTAGTATCTTATGTTTGACATTTTTTATGGTTTTAGTCCGTTTATCTAACGGTTGTTAACTTTTTCCGTTAAATTCAATTAAATAAGAGGTATTTTAGTTATCTTCACTATTTTTATATTTTATATTGAAATTAAAAAAACATATATTATATTTTTAGTTTTTAAATTGTAAAAAGAAGAAACGATCAAATATGAAGACGAAGGCAAGATTCACAAAATCAAACGTAAATTGGGGTTAAAAGGTATGTTTGTTTGTTCTTGATGTAACCTCATATGAGTTTCACCGGAAGAGTTACGTTGGTCACTTGGTTGTTTTAAAAGAGATAGTAAGATGACATATAGGAGTAGGGGTGCTCAGAACCCCATCAACCAAACCCAATCCAACACGAAATAATTCAACCCGAAACAACTTGATGTCTAATCGAGTTGTAAAATTTAAACCGTGAGTATTGAGTTGATATTGGATTATTATTATTTGAACTCAACCCGATGAACCCGATATCCTTTTATTTCTTGGATTTAATATGATTGTTATAATCTATTAATATATACATTAGACAATTACACTATCACGTGCATGCTTCATATACACATATTTTCAATCTATTCGCATCTCTATATAACTCATTCGTATATATTCGTATATATGTTCGTTAACTATGAACCATGTATATGTAAATTGAGAAAATTAACTGAATGTCATATACGTAAGAAATATGGATAAGTTGTATCAAATGGTCGATGATGAAAAATAAATTATGAGTAGAGAAATAACATATTCAAGGTTAGAAGAATATTTTAATGTAACAATGTATCAACCCGACTAACACATACGATTCAAGTTGGGTTGTGTTGCACTTTGATTTGAGTTTGGTTGGATTAAGATTTTTCAAACTGCAAAAATGTGGTTATAATGTGGTATCATTTTCTTTCCAATAAGAATATTATTAATATATTTAATACATAATATGTTTTTATAATTCTAATATAAAATTTAAAAAATGTAAAAAACGACTAAAATTAGACATTGAGACCAAAATTGTTGGAAATTATTGAACGTGAGGAACCAAACCCGAGTTTTTGAAGTTGAGGAACCAAACCCGAGTTTTTGAAGTTTAGGGACGATAGCCGTTAAAATTGCATATATTAGTGACTAAAATTGAACTTTGCTCTAAAATAAAGACAAACTTAGGTATTATTTATATTTTATAAAACTAATTTTTAAATTTTATTTGTGGAAATCAATTTTTAAAACTAGTTGATTGAAATACAACTCAAATATATTTTCATATAAATGATATTAATTACGTCATTAATAGTTTTAAAAGATTATTTAATATTTTATATATACGTAAGCCATCATCTTGGATGTAACCAATAATACTATTTTTTTGATATTAATATTTATTAAAATAATAACTGTTTTACAATTGTTTCAAAAACGATGGTATTTAATTTATTCATTTAACGGATAAGTTAAGATCCACGTCTTGTGCTGTAACCAACTTGATTGTCACAAAATATATAATAATAATAATTGTAATAATAATAATAATAATAATAATAATTTTCGTATTAAAAATAAATCATTTCCTTCAAATATATAATAGTTAATATAAATACAAATGAAAATTAATTATGGTAAATCAATTTTCTAAAAATTTGTTTTATGTATATATCAGAAAGATACTCGTATAATACAGTGACATACATATTGATATATATATATATATATATATATATATATAGTATGAAAATGAATTATAAAAGGATATTATGAAAGGACATGGCCACCTAGGAAGAAGTTGCAAGGGTTGGGTTTGTAGTTGCAAGTTGTGGAGCTTATGTTGAATGTTGAGTTGGTATGAAATTAAATGTTATGCATAAAACTCCAAAAAACTACTTTTCATTTTCTCTCATATGTTTGACCATCCTACTTACAACTTGCCATCTAACTCATCGACATCCGATCATATTACAATACACGTTTTTAGAATCAATCACCAATGATTCAAACATATCATCTCTTCTAAATCAAGATCAAATGACCAAAACTTCCATCTGGGTTTCACAAATCTTGTTTAAAAAGCATAAACAATACAGTTACGCACACACTTTCTTTATTAAAAGAGAAAATAAAGACTAAAAACTGTCAGTCATCTAACTCTAGTACATACGGTCAGGTATATGTAAAGTAATAACTAAAACCAATACTGATGCTAATGAAATTTTGGAAGAAATCTTGAAACTATAATATCCGATATTAGTTATAGTTCTCTTGGTTTTTTTTCTCCTACTCTTTTCTGTCTGTCTTTTTTGATTTGTTACTCGTTTTTTTATTGTATTTTTGTCCGATTTTTTTTAAATAAACTTTAAATGAAATATCGATTGTATTTTTATTTATAATAATAATAATTAAAAAAAGGAAGGAGTCAAGAGGAGAAGGCGGTGGTGGGCTTTCAAAGGGGATTTGGCGTGAAGCATGGAGACGAAATGGTCCACCAAACCACTTGCTCCATGCCTACATACATAGCATGGGGATTTACCATCCATAAGCAAATTCAGAGTATGTTTGGTTTGACGGAATATTAACGGATCAGGATTTTGTAAAAAGATTCGGAATTTTTAAGGAGCGTTCGGTTTGATGGAATGATTTTGAGGTATTTGGATTTCGTTGAATGATTTGGAATTTTTGATGTGTTTGGTTTGTAAGATTTGAAATTAAAATGAATTCATTTATTTATAAATAATTTAGAAAAAAAAATTAAATTATCTTTTTATTAATTGATTATTACAAAATAAGGTTTTAATATATGTTAAAACATTATTTACAAATAAATCTTATGAAATTCTGTAAAATACAAATTTGAAATTCAAATAATTTTTGAAATCAAACATGGAATTGAAATGAAATTGGGATGCGATTGAATTCCAAATTTTATCCAATTCTACAAAAAAAAAGGAAAGTGTATTTGGTTCGTAGGATCTGGAATAAAATTGAATTTCATTTTTTATAGATAATTTATGAAAACAAATTATAAATCATTATAAAAACAATTAAATTATATTTTTATTAGTTGGTTATTACAAAATAAATATTCTTAACATATTTTAAACATTATTACAAACAAATCCTATAAAACCTCATGAAATACCAACTACCCGTATGCAATTTATAAATCTCATTTTTTGTAGGATTTCATTGAAATCCCGAAGTTCAATTCCAAACTTTCTTTAAGACCAAACACGGGATTAGATTGGAATCCAATTCCAAATCCCATATACCGTGCTTGTAACAATGTTTTAAAATATTTTAAAAAAATACTCACTATTAATTGTTTTTATAAGTTATCAATAAGAAATGGAATTCAGTGTTATTCAAAAAATTTCCATAAAATCCAAACAAATAGTTTATCATTGTATATTTTCAAGATTTTCTTTTATTATAAGCAGACGAATAATGCCACAAAGGAGTGTGGTCACGGTTAAGAATTTGTAACCATTTGAAAAAGACAATCGAATCCTTAGTGACCAATGATCATTGATACCGATACTTTTAGCAAACAATCTTTATTTAGCTTATTAAGATGATGGGTATTATTGTCATTTCGATACAGATAGAATTAACAAAGTTAACAGTGGAGTTATGATAGAATCCGGTGCATAGCAATAGCCAAGTTAATATACCCAAATATCAAACTTCTTTGCAAATTGCTATCGATTTTTTTTACTTTAATCATGAATATCTAGACCAATTTACGTATATTGGACAAATCTCATACGATTGAAGCTTAGAATGATGTCTTAATACACATTTAGTGGTAGCATTTTAATCACACACTTAATTTAATTGTGCAATTCAAGTATTAATTTAAAATTAAATATATTATATTTCAATTTGATATTAATCTACGACTAAAAGTCACGTAGTCCCATGTGTTAATCCATTTAAAGATTCATCAAAACAATTCGTATCAGTAAAAAGAACAAAGAACTTGTTATTCGCAATTTGCTTTAATTTAAATCCACACATGTTGCTACAATGTTGATGCGTGATTGATAATAAATGCACAACAAAACTAAGAGTATTCATGATTCGGTTTCATGATTCGATTCGGTTAACAGGAAAAAATGTGAATTAAACAGTAATTCACAGTTCGGTTCACAGTTGCATTTATTAATTGTAATATAAAAAATAATTAAAAAAAAGATTTAAACCAATTACATCATAACCAAATAAAAATAATCCTAGGAGTTAGCATGTTAAAATAAGTTTATCGTTAAAGCATTCATTGTTTTTTTTACTAGTTTTAAGAGCATCTCTAATGCAAGGTTCTTATAAGCAAAAAAAATGGAGTGACTTGTAAAAACTACCATTGTGGAAGGTCATATAAAAACCTCATCCTCTTTTTTGTTTACACAGACCTAACCTCTATATCAATCAAATCTATACTGAATGCAACTACGTAACTAACATGTCTTGCGAACCCTACACTCAACTTGGTCCGAAAGTTTTGTTCTCATTTTGAGGAGAGACGGACTCTCTTTCCTTCTACGGTGAACTTTTTACTGCGTTCAAGCTGCAGTAAAAAAAACAAGTTATTATGGTGAGATTAGAATGCAACCAAAGCAAAACATATGTAAATATGTAACAACTCGTCCCACATGGATAGAAAATGGGATCTGTAAGTTCTTTATAAGTCTCAAGTTGTAGACTATCAATAACTTCCACCATGGTTTTAAGTTGGATTCAAAGTTATTGGGTCAGTCTGTTGCTTTGGGCTGTTACAAAACATACAACCATAGTACATACCTTTTTTCTCAAAAATGCAAGACTATCTTTTTTTGAAGAAAAGTTGGAAAAAATGGAACAATGTTCATCAACAAGAACTTTAAGTTGTTTAAGCTTCAATGACTTCTCAGGTGCCTGAAAAATAAGTTGATCAGCATAAAAGAAAGTCCTGTAATGCGTTGTATTAATCAAAAGAACGTACTTGACAAAGAAGCTTTCTGCACAATTTCTTTAGCTTCACTTTTGATTCATCAAACTTCTGGGAATCTGAGATATTATCTTCAGATTCGGATTCTTCCCTCTCACTGTCGCTAAAAGACGTTTTTTTCCCTTGAAAGTGCACCCCGGCAACTTTCCTTGGACGGTCCTTAATACCAAGTCCCTGTTTTCCGGAAGTTGCTTTATCCTGCAAAAAAAATACTTCATGAGCAGTGTCGTTCCTAGCTCCTTCCAACTCTATTTTACTAAGTACGGCAACAGACAACTAAGGGGCTGTTTGGTTGGTTTTTCATTAAGTTCTGTCTGGATAAAGCCGTCTGTGTGGATTAATCTGTCTGTATAGATTGGAAAGGTTTTTGTTTGGAGGGTTGTTTCATAGATGGAAGGAGCGTGTAATTTAATTGGGAGGTGTAGGTTTGGAATTTTTTTGGCTTTCTACATAAAGCTCCCCCTAGAAGCTTAATGAATAAGCCACTTTCTAAATCATTACGCCACTACCAAACAGTCATGTATAGCTGACCGAATAAGTTGTGAGTCCTATTAAGCTCTTTAAGCTGCTAACAAACAGGCCCGAAGGCCATCTCCGCCCAATGAGCAAAAGTGCTAAAGTTAAGTGCTAAACTGCTTCTTGATGGGCCAAAAATAGCCCATGTTGAAGCACACTAGCACACATAGAAAGACAAGGATGAACCCCATTTTAACTCAAATAAATGCAAGTTTGATACATGTTTTATTTCTAATTGGTTGAAAATTTAAAAATTAAAAGAAATTAAAACTAAATACTCAATCAGGTGTATTGGTAGAATTGGGAGGTTCAAATAATGGATGACACTTCATGATTTAGTAAAATAAATTGGGTGGTTAAACAAGATATAAAAATACCAATTTAACTACTATACACTAAAAATGAACATAGTTGAATGATAAATTAATAAATATATATCAAATATATAAAAGTCCTATAATTTAGCACTAATTGGTAGGAGATGATTAGTGCTATTCTAGTAAATAGTGAAAAATTGAGTTCTAAAATTTAGCACTAATGATATCTTTAGCACCTTCGATTAGAGATGGTCAAGGTCTAAGAACCTTCTTCAACATTAACAGGTAATCACACATTCTCCCTGCTTTCTAAAGAAAGAGATATTTACTATTTGGTAGATCAACCAAACAGCACCTAATTGTGTTAATTTTTAGCTTATTTACTATTGTGTCTTTGAATGCTTATTATAACAATGGAGTATTCAGGTAAGCCGAGATATCTTCTATAACAGAAGTATAAATATAAGACGAGCTCAAAGCATGGTTAAAAGGGTAAAGAAACTTGACAAGATACATACTTGTACAAGTTTGTAAAGATTTTCTTGATCCTCTTCATGAAATGCAGTCCTATCGTTACAATTTTGAGCACCATCTGTTGTTCGAGACTTCTTTCTTTTGGATTGAGCTCTGAGTAATCCTCCAGGCACAAACCCAAATTTGTTGCCCCACCACTCGGGGGAAATGTCTTTTTCATCTTTAACTGCAAACAGAGGTGTTGTTTTGATACCATGAAAACATACACAAGTAAAACTACAACTAAATGCGATAGTGTATGGTATGTAAGAAGATGAAATGAAATATACAAGAAAGATGACACAATTGGGACAGATTATTTTAGAAAATTACAAGGTAAAAAGATAACGTTTTCTAAACTAAACATAATTAGTTCTTCTGAAGGTATAAATGTCTGGATCATTCAAATTTACCTTCTGCTTTGAGGTTATCGGATGCTTCTACCAACTCTAAGTCTCCATCTTCATCAAAAACAGACTCAGGTCCTGGACAATCATCAACCTTTTTGACCTGCAGAATGAAAGATAATTTTTTTAGAGGAGGAAAATGGATAAATAACCCCAGAATCAAACTAATAGTGCTTGAAAATACATTCTGTTTACGTCAACTGTAATCTATAGAAGCTCAAGAAATAACAGGTTCATGGGCAAAAGAATCTGAGACTTCTATATTTCAGTTTTGTAAGCTCTGGATACTTATTAGTAGTCTTAAATGTCACCTCAGCTCCAACATCATCTCACACAATTACATATTACTGTCTTTATTGTGAGACCCATTAAGTAATCTAGAGCCAATCTATCCATTTGTGAGCGCCACTAGAATCACAAATTGTCCTATCTACCACCAATCTCCTTAGCATATAGTTGATATGGATTATGATCCGTTATTGAGTTAAATAGAAAAGTACTGCTGCTTTGTCTTTGTTCAAATAATGTGTCAATTCATCCATGGCTCATAATTACCAATTGTAAATATCATAGAGTCATGATAATATGATCTGTTTGAATGTGAATTCTCCTAAATATCAAAGGGAAATGTTGAATACCATAGGAGAGTACAATGATCAATCAAAGTGAAGGATCTTAATCAGAATTCAAGGAAGCTAATTATAATTAACAGAAATAAACAATTATTTGCTCAACCTAATGTCTCAGGCTATAAGTCATCAATAGATGTTAATGGCAGCAGCCGGTTGCTTCCTATAATCTTATCTAAGATCATGTCTACACATTCAATTGATCAAGTCCTTCACAACTTGGTCAGTCTCATATCAAATCTCATTACAGGTAATTCAACTTGATGAAGCCAAATACCAGTTTCAATATGGTTAAACCATCTACAGGTTCGATATTACTTCTTAAGGGTTCGATATTCATTCCCGAACAAAAGATGGTCCATGACCATCCTCTCGCTATACAAGTACTTGAGCTTTGATGTCAACCCATAACTCCCCATGTTTTCCCTTCCTCCAGCAAAATATATATGAGCAGCCCATGTTAAATTGATCGACAAAATGCCATCATATAAAAAAAAAGTCATGAACTTTTACAACTGAATCTGTACATATTAACAAGCTATTACAAAGATTGTAATAGACCTAAAAAGTCGTCTACAAGCAGCCAAAAAGGCAAACATCCCATTTAGAATACAGTACTACCAAGCCCACCTCCAAATCTCTTTTCTACATAAATCTTTTTATTCATGAATACGCTTAATCAAAAAATGAGTGGTAATTGTTATAGGGCAAAAAGAGTAACACGTACAAGAATTCCTTCAAGATCCTGAGCGGAGTATGCATTTACAAGCTTTCCTCTTTCTCTTCTTTTGTATCTGGTAATAATTTTTTTTTCATGTATCAATGCTTGGATATTATGATAGCTGAAAATTAAACTTAATTTGTACAAGTATATGGACCTTCCTTGGGGCCGTGTAGCCTTGATAACTGTTTCACTATTGTCCTTCGGTGAATTTGTTTCATGATCATCCTTCTCCCCAACAACTGTAAGATTGCCATCAGCAATAGAGAAAAATAAAACAGGAACCATGAGTTTACAAATACTACAATATCATCATGATTACAAATCAGTTACCTTGAGCATACCTTCATCATTTTTTACTTCTATTGCTTGCTGTCAAAAATATACATGAAAATGTTGATTAATGACGAAACCCATGCTAATAAAAGCAAAAACATGAAACAGCCATCTCTTACGCTCTGGGAGAAAAAGGTGAAGAACTTACCACTTTCAATTTTTTTAGAATACTATCAAACTGTGCAGTATCAAATGCCCAAGCGTTCGGTTTCTCTAAACCAATACCTGTTTGCATCCAAATTAAAGGCAAAGACATTTAATCAAGATTCTTAATTTTATCCCTATATATATATGTCTTGAATCTGACAAACAACACTAACAACTCCAGATCATCAGATCCGAGTTCATTAGTTAAAGACAAAATCACAGAAACAGAAATTGAAAATAGCATGTACAATTTTGTGCTAATAAAACTACCATCTAGTACATACATAACTAATATCTTAAAATATCCCTTCATCTTTGTTCCATCAACAATCATATTGGCACTCGATCTACAGAAAATATAGACGATAATTATATTTCCTGCCCCATGATTAAAGTCTACTTTTGCTTGTAAAGCTTCAAAACGAGTACTTTCCAAATTTTAGCTAAAACTGTTTTCTATTACAGATAATTTATGTGTACCAATTCTTTCTTCATCGATCATCATCTCAAATTTCTCATCCATTTGAAATTCAATACCAATCCACTTGATTCTTAGAAGTAAAATATGGACTCCAATTTGGGTCAGAGGTACCAATACTAACAAATCAGATGATAGAAAGTTACATTTCCAACTAAAGCTAACTAATGAACTACAGATTCCACTTTGATCCCCAAAATTGAACTAAAAGATTGATATAGTTCTCATGTCCGTTCTTACAGAAATTACCAATTCTTTCATTTTAAACTTAGTAAAATTAGACCTTTCAACGATCATTAAAATTACATTAAGCAACAGATCATTTACCAAGAGTGTCTTGTTTGTTCGTAACCCTAACGTGACCTTTGATCCCTTGTTTGTCCTTACCAAGACCTTCGCCTTCTTCCCATCCCTACAAAATACATATGTAGTGCATCGATCAAACATATATCCGAACCTATCAAATCTAAAATCACAACTGGACTGGATTTGCACTTATGATGTAAAGGTGAGCCGGAATTAATCAAACTAACCATTTGTTTCATGAGACGAAAGGCGGCGGATTTCTTGGCAACGCCTACGTAACATAGAGGAGCTTCAGAAGCGGCCATGATTTACTCCGGAGAATTTGATTCCGGCGACGATTAGTGTTTTTCTCTCGCTATCGAGACTGCTCGACGGACGAGGAGGAGCAACAAGGGTTTAGCGGCGTTGCCAAGTACGTCGGCCGAGGAAAACCATAATGTGGACATACGACGCCGTATTTTGACTCCACCAACCGTCCAACCCCACATATTTCCTCTTTCATCCCTTATATTTGGAATATTTTACATAACCCCTTAGTTTTACCAAAATTTACACAATAATATTTGAAAACTTATCTATACTATATTATAAAGTATTTGACAAAAACTCTTAGAAACTATTTTTTATACATAAAATATTGTTTATTGATGCATATTACTTAAAATTCAAGATTACAAGCAAATAATGCATAAGTACAACTTATTAAAGCTCTATACTTGAATTCGTGTAATTAACTACAGATAAACATAATCAAATATTGGATAAACATTTCATTTTAAATANAGAATAATTATCGAGTTCCAACAAAATAAATAATTATTATCTTTATAAAAAAAAATTATATTATTAAACCAAATATACATTACTTCATTATTGTACATAAATTAAATTATAAAAAAATTGAATTAAAAAATTACACAAAAAATGAGGAATTTCAAATAGTTAATTTGATACTAAATTACTAATATCGATATATTTTGGTCAAAATTTTATGATATCTTTAAACATATATTTTATTTAAAAATAAAAACATCATCGTTTTCTCAAAATCACATAAAGCCATATTATAACATCAACTGAGATAAAAAAATAAAATGAAATATTAAAATCACGATGTATCTCGCTGCATTGCGCGAGTACGCTTCTAGTATAATCTAATATATATATATATATATATATATATATATAGTTATTATAATCTAACAAAATAAAAAACTAAAAAAGGAAAGGGACCAAAATTATAGAGGGATCGAAACAGCATGACAACAATAATAACCAAAATTATAATTAATTTAAAATAGAAACTAAATTTGATAATAAATTACAAGCACATATGTAATTTATTTTTGTTATTTATACTATATTATAAAGAATTTGATAAAAACTTTTAAAAATCATTTTTTATGTATGAAGTATTGTTTATTGATGCATATTACTTAAAATTCAAGATTACAAATAAACCGTGTGTATGTACAACTTATTAAAGCTTCAAGTTTATATTCATGTAACTAACTGCAGACAAATATAGTCAAATACAAGATAAACATTTCATTTTAAATATAAAAAATCTACAACATAATTGGGATAATTATTAAGTTCTAACATAATATTTAATTATTCTCTTTGTAAAAACTTATATTTTTAAATCAAAAATAAATTACTTCGTTATTATCTAAATTAAATTATAATATAAAAAAAGTTGAATCAAAAAAATTACACAACAAAACAAGAACTTTTAAATAGTTAATTTCATACTAATATCGATATGTTTTATTTTTAATTTTAAAGATTTCTTTAAATTTATATTTTATTCAAAAATAAAAACATTATCGTTGTTCTTAAAACCACATAAAACCGTATTATAACATCGACATAGGACAAAATAAAAAGATACATTAAAATCGAGATGTATCTCGTTGCATTGCACGAATACCTTTATAATATCAAAATAAAAATAAAAAAACTTTAACTTATTCTTATTTTGAAAAACCAACGTTCAAAATCCACTTGAAATTCAATACCAATCCACTTGATTCTTAGAAGTAAAATGATTTAGCCATTTGGGGAGCTTAATCCATACAACCAACTTTTTTTCCATTTTAAAAAATGGTTTTCTAGAAACGATCCACCTTACCAAATATAGTCTTCTCAAAAACGATCCTCCGTTATCACCACCGCTACTCCTAGGTAATTACGAAATATCTACACACTTGAGAACTCATCTATCACCAAAGTGGTTACGTTTTCGGTTGATTTGTAGATATTCTAGGATTTTATAGAACTGGTTCTTTATTCTTATGAATTCATCTAAAATGGTCTTTTGTACGATATAATGTAAGAATTGTACCTAAATCATGATTTTCAAGCATTAAATAATTGTATCCAACTTTGTTGTGATTTTCAAGCTGTTAAATACATAATTTATTGTCACTTACCTCGTAAGCACTTACCGGTAAAATTTAACATTATCGTTTACTTATCGGATAAAATTTATTCATTAAAACGAATCGTATGCAACAATTTATCCCGGTAAGTGCTAACCATGGTAAGAGTCATCGTCCTCACTTATCGGGTAAAACTCTCGATTCTTGCCTTCTCTCTTACCGGGTAAGTTTTTAGTCCTTGCCATATTCATCCGGTAAAGTAAAATAACTTGATAAGCGCTTACTCGGATAAGTGTTTGGTAAACGACACCTTAAACTTTTAGAGTATGCATTGTTGGGTTTTAGTCTCGAGACTAGTCCTAGTCCTACATAGGAAAGCTCTTAGAAAAATGGTGGGTTTATTAAGTGTAAGCTACACAAGGTATCAAAATGGTTAAGAGCCCAATACATGGAATGTGTTGGGTTTTGGTGTGGGCTTAGCTAATTATTTAATTGTCAAAAGACAAGGCCTTGGGCTCTATTGACCTTAAAACCGAACTTTTTACTAATATTGAAACAGAGTAAAAAGCGAGTTTAATGTGACCAAAGTCGCACTAAACCCGCATTTGTCTCCGTTTGGTTCGACAAAACGGAGTATGATGCGACTCCCATGCGGGTAAATCCACATCTAACCCGCATTAATCCTTGGACGGTTGAAAACAGTTAATTTCGGTTGGCAAATTTAAAGGTATAAATACCTTGCCTTCCCTTTCAATTTCAGATACACTTTTTCCCACCAAAATTCTCAAAAAATCCCTTGCTTTCTCAAGAACACATTATTGATTCGATGATATTTATCCTCAAGGCGACATTCGGAACCAAGCACGATTTGGGGACGAAATTTCGTCTTAGGACACTACACCGGCGGGCCTCTATCCTCTTATCTTCGTTCATTTCTAGTACGTCATCGAAAAGGTACACGGATTCTTGATTTAATCGATTTTGTTAAGTTTGTTTTTATATATTTATTGTTTAGTTTGTGTTATCAATATGATTGATCATAACATGCATTTAGCACATTTCTTGACCAAACCCTACACACTCTAAGATGCCTTTTCAAACGTGCTCGTGTTTCGAGTCAAGAGATAGCTAAAATAGATACTAAGGGTGGAATTGGTATGGTACCAACTTTTTTCTCTAATACCATGTATCAACAAATTATAATTGGTATGTAAAATCTTATACCGTATATCAACCAACCATATTTGGTACCAGCTTTTTTCAGTTGGTATTGGTTTTGTACCAACTTCAAGATACATGTATTAAACTTATCATTTTGAGTTTGCAGGGATACACATAATGTTTAAGTGTTTTTATTTGTAAGAAATAAAATTTGCAATCATTTAAATACCCAAGCAAAAAGCCAGTAATAACAAAACTTACAAATAAATAACTATGATTTATGATTAATGAATAAATAATTAAATAAGTCATTACCACAGTACCACCATGGTAATCGACTTCCAATACCGTGTACAAACCAAAATTATATACTTGATACCATACTACCAACAAATGTAACTGATACCAACTAAATTGTCATCCCTAAACTTATCTTCTTCACCCGTCCTTAACCCACGGTCCATATTGTGATCTGCTTTTGTAACCAAAAGCAGCCGTTACTAGATGGGTCTTTAACAACCTTTTAAATCAACAATGAGATGCATGTTATAAACCAAACCAATCATCCATGGTTTTACATAATCATATCAACCAAAAGACAAATTATCAAACACTTGACGCGCATTAATTAACGAAATCAAACATGTGTTCTATTCTCGTGCTGGAGTTAAAGCATCTCTGACTACACTGCAAAACACCAATTTTACAGGTGATGAAATTCCAACCACATTTCAAAACACCTGAAATTTTATAGATCAAGAAGAGAGGAATATCGATGACTATTTGGTGTTTTCAACTACATAAATTTTGATGGCCCCCCACTTAGTCATTCTAATTTATTTTTATTTGTTTTTTTCAAATTTTAATATTTACTTTGCAACATAATAAATGTTATATTTAAAAAAGTATAAATATTATACTTAAAATATGGTTTGATAATAATAAAATATGTTATTTTAATATGGGGTCCATAAATTTAGTGATTTCTAGAGTGTGAATGTGTGATTGGAATTGAATTTTTTTTTCTTGTGTTAATAGGCCGACCAGTATTGGTGGGGTTTTTTAATGTTAAGGCTGAAGATGGTATATCAAAAGCATGTAAAATATTCATACGAATCACATATTTGAAATGGAAAAGCTAGATCCAACTCAAGAACATCATCAAACCTAATCAAATCCCTAGATCGAAGAAATTTCAAATAAGATATTGATCAATTCCTGAAGATTTGAAAGATTGAACCCGAAGCTAGTCAGAAAGATGATCGATTGTTGTTTTTATTTTTATTTTTTTGTTCTTCATGGTTAAGGATTGCAATTTCTTGATACCCATATGCAAATAGATTGTAGATTTGATTTTTTTTTCTCTCACAAATAAATAGAAACTGAAATAAAAAAGATTGGAAAATTACATTTTCTTTTCAAACTAATTGTAATCCATATGAGATGAAGAAGATCAGAAATTTGAGTTTTCCCCCAAACTAATTGAAATCCAGATGAGATAAAAAAAATCATAAATTTGTGTTTTTCTTCAAACAAGTTGAAACCCAGATAAGATGAAGAAGATCACATATCTGGGGGTTTCCCCAAAAGATGAAGGATGAACAAAGAAGATGACCACTTTCTGGTCATGTTCGTTTTTCACCATCCAAGTTTTAATGTACAAATTTTAGTCGTTGATTCAAAAAGTCAACAACAAAATTGTTAATCAGAGAATTTTGGTAAAAAGACCATTTTGCCTTCAAAGTTAACAGGGAGAATAGACATTCGTTAAGAAAAGACTGATTTCAACAAAAATTGTAAAACCCAAGGGTCTATAGGTAATAAATGAAATTTAAGAACCGATTTTTTAGAAAACCCCAAACTGCA